AGGGAGCTCCACCGAAGGCCTCATTGGCGGTGCCCGCAATTTCGGTGCACCGCTCACACGTGTCGTGTCCCCATAGGGAGGTTCACCGAAGGCTCCAGGTGCAGCGCCCGCAGACGGTTCCATCATCCATTTCGGCACAACCTTTCACACGTTTCGTGGCCCCATAGAGAGCTCAACCGAAGGCCCCAGGGGAAGCGCCCGCATGCAGTTTCACCCGCCATCTCTGTGCACAGCTTACAAGCTTCGTGGCCCCAGAGGGAGCTCCACCGAAGGCCCCAGTGGCAGCGCCCGCTTGCAGTTCCACACGCCACTTCGGTGCACCGCTTACAAGTTTCATGTCCCCATAGGGAGCTTCACCGAAAGCCCCAGTGGCAGCGCCCGCATGCAGATCCAACCCGACTTCGGTGCACCCCTCACACGTTTCGTGGCCCCATCGGGAGCTCCACCGAAGGCCTCATTGGCAGTGCCCGCAATTTCGGTGCACCGCTCACACGAGTCGTGTCCCCATAGGGAGGTTCACCGGAGGCTCCAGGTGCAGAGCCCGCAGACGGTTCCCTCATCCATTTCGGCACAACTTTTCACACGTTTCGTGGCCCCATAGGGAGCTCCACCGAAGGCCCCAGGGGCAGCGCCCGCATGCAGTTCCACCCGCCATCTCGGTGCACCGCTTACAAGCTTCGTGGCCCCAGAGGGAGCTCCACGGAAGGCCCCAGTGGCAGCGCCCGCTTGCAGTTCCACCCGCCATCTCGGTGCACCGCTTACAAGTTTCGTGTCCCCATAGGGAGCTTCACCGAAGGCTCCAGTGGCAGCGCCCGCATGCAGATCCACCCCGACTTCGGTGCACGCCTCACACGCTTCGCGGACCCATAGAGATTTCCACCGAAGGCCCCTTTGGCAGTGCCCGCAATTTCGGTGCACCGCTCACACGTGTCGTGCCCCCATAGGAGGTTCACCGAAGGCTCCAGGTGCAGCGCCCACAGACGGTTCCATCATCCATTTCGGCACAACGTTTCACACGCTTCGTGGCCCCATAGGGAGCTCCACCGAAGGCCCCAGGGGCAGCGCCCGCATGCAGTTCCACCCGCCATCTCGGCGCTTCGCCTACAAGCTTCGTGGCCCCAGAGGGAGCTCCACGGAAGGCCCCAGTGGCAGCGCCCGCTTGCAGTTCCACCCGCCATCTCGGTGCACCGCTTACAAGTTTCGTGACCCCATAGGGAGCTCCACCGAAGGCCTCATGGGCAGTGCCCGCAATTTCGGTGCACCGCTCACACGCGTCGTGTCCCCATAGGGAGGTTCACCGAAGGCTCCAGGTGCAGCGCCCGCAGACGGTTCCATCATCCATTTCGGCACAACCTTTCACACGTTTCGTGGCCCCATAGAGAGCTCAACCGAAGGCCCCAGGGGCAGCGCCCGCATGCAGTTTCACCCGCCATCTCGGTGCACCGCTTACAAGCTTCGTGGCCCCAGAGGGAGCTCCACGGAAGGCCCCAGTGGCAGCGCCCGCTTGCAGTTCCACACGCCACTTCGGTGCACCGCTTACAAGTTTCGTGTCCCCATAAGGAGCTTCACCGAAGGCCCCAGTGGCAGCGCCCGCATGCAGATCCACCCCGACTTCGGTGCACCCCTCACACGCTTCGTGGCCCCAGAGGGAGCTCCACATTGGCAGTGCCCGCAATTTCGGTGCACCGCTCACACGTGTCGTGTCCCTATAGGGAGGTTCACCGAAGGCTCCAGGTGCAGCGCCCGCAGACGGTTCCCTCATCCATTTCGGCACAACTTTTCACACGTTTCGTGGCCCCATAATGAGCTCCACCGAAGGCCCCAGGGGCAGCGCCCGCATGCAGTTCCACCCGCCATCTCGGTGCACCGCTTACAAGCTTCGTGGCCCCAGAGGGAGCTCCACCGAAGGCCCCAGTGGCAGCGCCCGCATGCAGTTCCACCCGCCATCCCGGTGCACCGCTTACAAGCTTCGTGACCCCAGAGGGAGCTCCACCGAAGGCCCCAGTGGCAGCGCCCGCTTGCAGTTCCACCCGCCATCTCGGTGCACCGCTTACAAGATTCGTGTCCCATAGGGAGCTCCACCGAAGAAGGCCCCAGTGGCAGCGCCCGCATGCAGATCCACCCCGACTTCGGTGCACCCCTCACACGCTTCGTGGCCCCATAGGGAGCTCCACCGAAGGCCTCATGGGCAGTGCCCGCAATTTCGGTGCACCGCTCACACGTGTCGTGTCCCCATAGGGAGGTTCACCGAAGGCTCCAGGTGCAGCGCCCGCAGACGGTTCCATCATCCATTTCGGCACAACCTTTCACACGTTTCGTGGCCCCATAATGAGCTCCACCGAAGGCCCCAGGGGCAGCGCCCGCATGCAGTTCCACCCGCCATCTCGGTGCACCGCTTACAAGCTTCGTGGCCCCAGAGGGAGCTCCACCGAAGGCCCCAGTGGCAGCGCCCGCATGCAGTTCCACCCGCCATCCCGGTGCACCGCTTACAAGCTTCGTGACCCCAGAGGGAGCTCCACCGAAGGCCCCAGTGGCAGCGCCCGCTTGCAGTTCCACCCGCCATCTCGGTGCACCGCTTACAAGATTCGTGTCCCATAGGGAGCTCCACCGAAGAAGGCCCCAGTGGCAGCGCCCGCATGCAGATCCACCCCGACTTCGGTGCACCCCTCACACGCTTCGTGGCCCCATAGGGAGCTCCACCGAAGGCCTCATGGGCAGTGCCCGCAATTTCGGTGCACCGCTCACACGTGTCGTGTCCCCATAGGGAGGTTCACCGAAGGCTCCAGGTGCAGCGCCCGCAGACGGTTCCATCATCCATTTCGGCACAACCTTTCACACGTTTCGTGGCCCCATAATGAGCTCCACCGAAGGCCCCAGGGGCAGCGCCCGCATGCAGTTCCACCCGCCATCTCGGTGCACCGCTTACAAGCTTCGTGGCCCCAGAGGGAGCTCCACCGAAGGCCCCAGTGGCAGCGCCCGCATGCAGTTCCACCCGCCATCCCGGTGCACCGCTTACAAGCTTCGTGACCCCAGAGGGAGCTCCACCGAAGGCCCCAGTGGCAGCGCCCGCTTGCAGTTCCACCCGCCATCTCGGTGCACCGCTTACAAGATTCGTGTCCCATAGGGAGCTCCACCGAAGAAGGCCCCAGTGGCAGCGCCCGCATGCAGATCCACCCCGACTTCGGTGCACCCCTCACACGCTTCGTGGCCCCATAGGGAGCTCCACCGAAGGCCTCATGGGCAGTGCCCGCAATTTCGGTGCACCGCTCACACGTGTCGTGTCCCCATAGGGAGGTTCACCGAAGGCTCCAGGTGCAGCGCCCGCAGACGGTTCCATCATCCATTTCGGCACAACCTTTCACACGTTTCGTGGCCCCATAATGAGCTCCACCGAAGGCCCCAGGGGCAGCGCCCGCATGCAGTTCCACCCGCCATCTCGGTGCACCGCTTACAAGCTTCGTGGCCCCAGAGGGAGCTCCACCGAAGGCCCCAGTGGCAGCGCCCGCATGCAGTTCCACCATCCATTTTGGCGATGCCTCGCACGTTCCGTGGCCCCATAGAGAGCTTCACCGAAGGCCCCAGTGGCAGCGCCCGCATGCGACTCCACCTCCCATTTCGGCGAACTTCTCACACGTTTCGTGGCCCCATGCGGTGCTCCCCCAAAGGTCCCAGTGGTCCCTGCTGCTGGCCCCCCTCCTTCATTTCATTTCCCTCGCGATGCTCGAAAACCCCAGTGCCAGCCCCCGCATGGCGGCCCCGCCACATCCTGGCACACCCTTCACTCGCTTCGAGGCCCCATAAGAAGATCCACCGAAGACGACATTCACAACGACGGCACTCACAACTGTATATGGTTGGGTCCGTCGTCAGGCTACCTTGAGGATGTCTCTGCTGAACTTCCCCTCGGCTGGAGTTAGCTTCTACCACCACAGGACTCCGTTCAGCAAGCTGTTGGGGAAAACAATTGAAGACTTTCACGGATTGAGGGCGGGTGGTTTCAACATGTGGATCTCGCCTTGCCGCCGTGAGCATTCGTGTTGTTGAGTTTTGCGTGGTGAGGGTGGTTCTTTTTCAAAATGTGGCTCTCGCTTCAGCGCCGCGCATATTATTTTAAAAGAACTGCAAGAGCTTCACACATTGAGGGCGGGTGGTTTTCAAAATGTGGTTCTCGCCTGAGCGCCCGCCGCGCACATTCGCTACAAACACTTGCAAGAGTTGCACGGTTTCCTATGGTTAGCGTCCTAGAGAAGCGGGGCTTCTGAATGATTCAGGATTGTCAGGGCGCAACAGTTACGTTGTTTCGCGGTGCTGACGTCCCAGGAATGGTGTTCTGGTGCGGTTGAGGATCGTCAAGACGCAAAAGTCAGGTTGATTCGTGGCGTTGAATTCCCGAGACTGGTGTTCTTGCACGCTTCAGGATATTCAAACGGTTGTCTCCCCCCGGGGCACTTCCCTCAGTGGACATGAGTACTTGTGGGGGTCTATGACGGGTGAGCTTGGAGAGAGGGTTCATTCCAACACCGTTGATGAGTCTTGGGTGTGCACTGGTCCTCCTCCTCCTCCTCCGTCCCATCCTTCCCCCTCTCTGTCCTCCTTCTCCTCTTCCTCCGTCTCCTCTCTGTCCTTCCTCTCCTCCTAATCCCCCCCCGCTCCTTACAGAAAGATGTGCTCCCCTCCTCCCAACCTCCTGTCCGCCGAGGGGTGTGACAGGAGGCGCCCTGCGCCTCCTAGAGGTGTGTCCAACCGACTCTGCGCGAGGCGTGACGCGTCCTTCTTCTCCTCTCTCCCTCCCCTCCCCTCCCCTCCCTCTGTCCCTCCCTCCCTTCGTCCCTCCCTCCCTCCCCTCCCTCTCTCTCTCGCTCTCTCTCCTATTCCCTCCTTCCACCATTCCCTCTTCCCTCCTTCCCTCCCTCCCTTCCTCCCCTCCCCCCCCCCCCGGCCCAGAGGAGGTGCTGCGTTCCTCCCGCGCCCCGGGCCCCAGCCGGCGGCGGTGCGCGCAGGCGTCGCCGCCTTCTCCATGTCGTCCAGCCACATGGCCGCGCCCTCCCAGCTGGCGGGCGGCGCCGCTGGCCGGGAGGAGGAGGAGGAGGAGGAGGAGGAGGAGGAGGAGGAGGAGGAGGAGGAGGAGGAGGAGGAGGAGGAGGAGGAGGAGGAGGTCCGACGGGGTTAGGATGGGAGGCGACGAGGGGGGAGCGACAAGTTAGGTGCGCTCGCGTCATATCTGACATCCTACCCCTCCCTCCCATCCCTTACCATGGCGTAGATCCCCTCTCTACTCGCACAGTCGGATGTCGAGCAGGGCAATGATCCCGAAAGGGTACGCGATGCATTGTAGAGCACGGCATGGCATGGCGTAGAAGAGCACCGCAAAGCGTAGTATCAACCTAGCATTGCATTGCATGCCGTGGCATGGCACGGGGAATGACGCCAGCGCTGCAGCGGGAGCACGAGTCGGAACGAGCGGAAGCGCGGAAATGAGGCCAGCGCTGCAGCGGGAGCACGATTCGGAACGAGCGGAAGCACGGAAATGAGGCCAGCGCTGCAGCGGGAGCACGATTCGGAACGAGCGGGGCCCGGAAATGAGGCCGGCGCCTCAGCGAGAGCAGCATTTTGGAAACAAATGCAGGCGAAAACCCAACTCCGGGGAATCTTGTGTGTAAAAAAACAGTGCGCGGGGGGGGCTCATATTATCAAACCGTCATCAGGGGAAGAGGGAGAGTAGTATTCATATTGAGTAATTGTATAGCCCAAGGGGGAGCAATGCGTGCATCCAGGGGCGCCGAGGGTCCATGTCTTCGGTGAGGGTCCCCCGCGAATGCGAGTACAGCTCTCCTCTGGGCTATTCGCCCCCATCGTCGCCCCCGAGAGGACGAGCAGAAATTCGTTCCAGAGTTTCGGGGGGCCCGAAGAACGTTCCAGGGGGCTCTGAGAAGGCTGCGGCGCTCGATGCATGCTCCAGAGCCGCCGAATCCCAGAGATGCCCGATTCATCTCCACCCGCTGTCATCCTCGTCTTGGCTTCGTCTGAGAAGGGGGAGGCGAGGCGCCCATATCCCCTCGCGTCGGAGACGGGGGAGGCGAGGCGCCCAGATCCCTACAGAGATGTCCAGGTATATCAAACAGGACCCCTCGAACAGGTCACGCTCGTGCGCGTGAACATGTAGACACATTGGTTGCTCAAGGTGTGCTCGAAAGGTAAGCCGATAGCAGGGGCATTGAAGGCGCCCCAGGCGTGAGCCGGGGTGAAGCAAGCGCTCGCGAAACAGAGCGGGGCCGCAGTTGTGGACGAGGAGAGCGACGGTGACGACGTGGACGAGGCGGATGACCCATGTCGGCCCTGGTGGACGCCAAACAGGGCGCGACCCCGCCCGACGCCAAGAAACAGAAATCGGGAGCGCGCAAGTCGATGACTGGCGAGAGAGGGCGGTGCCCACTGTGCCCTCCGTACCAATGCCCGCCAAGAACCGCTTGAAGATCCCACGCGACATGGAACTTCCGAAGTCCGACGCGTGCGGACTGCCAGCTTCAGGCGGCGGGCGCTGTGGTTGGGCGCTGCAGACCTTGGGTGGTTGATCGACATGATCAAATGATGGGCCTGTTTTCCACCACCACCACCATAAGTTGGAGGGGGAAGGAGGTGGAAGATGAGGAGGAGGAAGACGAGGAGGAGGAGGAGGAGGAGGAGGAGGAGGACCCCCTCCCCCCTCCAACTTCTGGGTGGTGGTGGTGGAAAACAGGCCCAGCAATCAAAGACGACATCGACGACGGCGACAGAGACGAAACCGCAGTCGTGGACAGGGGCTGGACAACGGCGCCTGACCCTGTAACCCCGCAGGCGCGCCGCGGGGAGCCCCTCGGCCCCCACCGCGGCGCAGGCGCAGGGAAGCGGCAATGACTTCGCCGTCGTCTGGGGACTTCAAGGGCGCTTCGGTCGCGACCATAACGCGAGAGTGTGCCAACGAGGGCAAGAGTACCGAGAAGGAGGTGAAACAACTTACGAACACAATACTAACATTACTAATAAGAAGACGCGTGCTCATTACCCCAGTGCGACCCTACCTAGAAGTTGGAGCCCTAGAAAAGCAGCATTAGTTGCTATGATATGCTATGCTATGCAATGCCACGCTATGCTGCGTTATGCTATGATATGCCATGCTATACTATGCTGCGCTATGCTATGTTAAGCTATGCCATGTCATGCTGTGCTATGCTAAGCTGCGCTGTGCTATGCGATGCTATGCTATGATGTGCTATGCTATACTATGATGTGGTATGATATGATATGCTATGCTGTGCTAGGCAGCGCTATGATATGCTATTCTATGCTATGCTTGGCTACGTTATGCTATGCTATGCTATGCTAATGCAGCGCGGCGCCATGCTAAACTAAGCTAAGCTAAACTAAACTAAGCTAACCTTCTAGACAGAGTCTAGGTAGGGAATTACACCCATGCAAATGCTATGCTGCGCTATGCTATGCTACGCTATGCTATGCTATGCTGTGCTCTACTATGCTAAAGCTCAGCGAATCTAAGATGGAGATCAGCTAAGCTAAGATAAACTTGAACTAAGATGGCTAAACTAAGCTAAGATGAGGTAAGCTAAGCTAAGATGAGATACGCAACGCTATGCTAAGGGGACGTAACTGGGGGAACCGCGGGGCGGATGCTGGGGGAACCGCCCGGGGCGAGCCCCATTGCCTGGCCCTTTTAAGCCCAGAGAGTAAGAACCCTTCTAGGAGCCTAGGTAGGGAATAAGTATAATAATAGTAATAAGAATAATACGAATAATAAGAAGACGAAAGATAATAATCATAATAAGAAGAGTAATAATACTTAAAAGAAGTGGCAGTCGGGGCGGCCACTGAAACTCTACGACCACGAGAGGGAGGCCATCGCGCCGCAGCAGCGGCAGCAGGCGGCTCGGGACGGCCTCGAGCTCCAAGTCCCCAGTCTGTTCGACTGAGGCCCGAAACCGCGGGGGCCGCAGGGGCGGCGAGGCTAATTCACGAGTGTCCGCAGTTGCGGGTTGGCTGGGGGCTCGTGTGAGCGCGGAGCGCGAGGCGGTGTGTGGAGGCAGGCGGAGGCCGAGCGTCGCCACCGTGTTTGCGTCCCGCGTGATCCACGGGCACGCGCCTTAGTGCGCCAACTTAGAGAAGCATCGGGACCCTGTGCGCGCGATGATCGGGGCTTCCGCGCGGGTGCTGTCTAACAAAAGCATAAATTCGTTTTCGATGCATTCGTTGATCTGAATCTGCAGTTGCTCCTCCCTCCCCCTCCCTCCTCTTATCTCTGTGGCCCGCGGCCGCGGTTCTGGCCCGAACCCTTCGCCCCGCGAGCGCCCGTGGATGTCCCCGTGGGGGGGGCCGTGGCACGGCGAGGGGTACGGAGCGCCCGTTGCGACAGCGGCGCCCCTCCGAAGAAAACGAAGTATGGGACCGCAGGGTTCGAGAATATCTTGAGCCGCAGAAGCGGCGAAACCTGTTCCAAAAAGATAGAGATGCGCGCGGGCGTGGCCTTTCCGTGCCACGCGAAGTGGGGTTCGTCGCAGTGTGGCTCTGTAGAGCAGCCTGCGCGTCACTTGCGGCCGTTTGCATGGCGACGGGGCGCGCCGCCATTGCCCGCAGTTGCGGTCCCCGCGGCGCCGGCGACAGCTCCAGCCGACGCCGCAGCACCGGCAGTTCCCGCAGTTCGTGCAGTAGAAGCACCCGCCGCTCCTGCACAAGAAGCGCCCGTAGCACCAGCCGTTCCCGCAGCTCCTGCACAATAGTCGCCCGCAGCACGGACAGCGACAGCAGACCCTGCGCCAGAAGCGCCCGCGGCAGCTGTCCCGACAACTCCTCCAGCACAAGTGCACGCAGCGCCAGAAACGCTTCCTAAGCGCGAGACCGCAGTTGCGGTTGGAGCACCTCGAGGAGTGGAAGGTGACGATGCCACGCCACTTGCAGCGCGCGTGCCACCGGCGCGCCCGCTGCTGGAGAACTGGTGTAAGACGCGCATCGCTTTCTTCCCGTGCCCAGACTCAAAGGCAGCAGCGTCAGTTGCGGCGTCTGCTGCCGACGCCTTGCGGCCGCGAGTCGCGGCCCAACCCCTGGTGTGCCCTTGGAAGACGCGCCAGAAATCCGGGCCGCAGCGGCGGCGACGGCGCATCGAGAAAATGACCGAGGGTTCCTGCGTTGGGCGCTCAGCTTTCATGCTGTTTGCCTTGCGGCTCGAGCGTCAGGGGCCTCCTTGACTCCTTGACTTCTGCGTGCCGTGGGCAACGGGGAAAAGCATTCAGCCATGCGCCGTCGACGGCGTGGCTCGCGCGCTCGATGGCGATGGCGGTCTGCCCATGGAGTGGGCAGCGCGTGATCTCAAGCCCGTAACTCCCGAGACGCCTCTCCGTGAGGCGCGGCGCTGGGTGGCCGCAGTTGGGGTGGATGACGCGTGCTCTGACGGGGCCGACCCGTTGCGCAAGTTCGATGGGCCATGAGGCCGCTGGATCGTAGGGGCTGTTTGAGATGGAGACTGCGGCGTTGACCTGATGGCGATGATGTTGCAGAAGCCGCGAGATGCCGAGTCGCGCAAAAGGATCCGAGAGGGTGCGCCGCTGGGACGAGCCGTCGTTGCGCAACTTGCTCGTTGTCACGCGGGAGTTCCGTTTGGGGGCGGCGCTGGCGCCCCGCGTTTGCGGGGGCAGCGGCTCTCCCGAACCCGTCGTCCTGGACAAGGTCAAGTCGAGGGCGAGCCAGCAGAGGCGCCGGGGGGGCCGAGCGCGCCGAGCGCCGATTTCATGGCGGCCTTGCAGTGGCGGACGGGCGTGAAAGACCGCGGTATACTGCTTGCCATGGCTGAAACAATGCCAGAGGCGTTGCGGCAGTAGCAGATCCGAACGCGCGCGCTGGCCCGCGCGCGCCCTATGCCCGCGGCCGCGGAAGCGAAGCGGCGCCTGTGCCCGCGCGTGCTCAGAGACCCGGGGCTGGCGCGCGCAGTGCTGGACGCGCGCGCCCGCAGTTGCGGTCGGATGGGCCCTGGCCCTCTGCCGCGACATTTTTTTTTTTTTTTTTTTTTTT